TCTCTCTCTCCCTCTGTCTTTCACTCGCTGTCGAATTCACTAAAAATTTGTAGGAAAAACATCAATTTATTTTGTCCATAATCATCATCATCATCATCATCATCATTTTTGATAGTTATTCCATTAGTTTGCCACTTTTTCTTCAAAAAATTTTTTTTTTGCTTGTATTTTTCATACACCCACATTATCATTATTATTATTATTATTCCACTATAATCGAAACTAAACGGAATAAAACCAATTTTTTTTGTTTTGTTTTTGGGCAGTGAAGACCACATTTTTGTTTATTAAATGCCAAACAATATATACATGCATGATTATCACACAGAATACACATGAAAATTCAAAAATACAATGACATTGAAACGATAATAATCATGTCCAAAAAAGTGAATGAATGAATCGTTACCATCATCAAAACTGTTATATAATGATGATGATGATGATGATGATGATGATGATGATGATGATGATGAAAAGCGGCGTCGAAGAACGTTAAAGATGAGAGAAAGAAATGTTCAGTGTTTTTTTTCTCTCTCTCTCCCTCTTCATGATCATCATTGTTCGAAGGAATTTGGAGCAACAAAAACAGAATCAAACAAAAAAAAACAAAACTGAATTGGTTCACAAGTCTTTTTTGTTGTTGTTGTTGATTGTTAATGTCTGTTTTTGGATGGAAAAAAAAGGAATTCTCAACGGACAACTATGAGAGAAAAAAAATCATTATTATTGGATACCCGATTTTTTTTATTCATTTTTTTCAGATCATCATTATTCTCTTTTGCTGACTTGCATTCTATTTTTTTGTTTCTTATTTTGTCTAAAACTAAGTAATCTTTATCATAATCATTTTTACATTCAGGTCTATCCATATAATGATGATGATGATGAGCTAAAGTGTGAAAATGAACAGAATCTTAATCTTTCAAAAACTTTTATTGTTTCTATATTATCATAAAAAAGAAATTCACAGGAAAGAAGAATGAAAACAAAACAAAGAAAAAAACAAAATTAGTATCCAGTGATCATTATTTGATGATTGTTAATGTTGTTGTTGTTGTTGTTGTCATCAACCATAATGTTGTCAAACATCAAATGAAGAAAATGAAATTCAATACAGATGTATACAGTGAGATAGAGAGAGAATGAAAACACAAAACGATTCGGGAAAACTTTTCACTTTTCATCATCGTCATCATCATCATAGGGATTTTTGTTCCATAAATTATTTTTAACAAAATAAAAAAAAACAACCGACAAATTCAATTCTTTTTTCATTTCTCTTCGTTCATTTTTCGGTTGACAATTATAAAATAATTCAAATGAAAAAAAAGATGAAGAAATTTTTTTTCAAATATGAAAAATTTCATTTCTAGATTTTAGATTTTCCTTTTTAAAAGGATTAAAAATATTCTAGTATTCTACATTTAAATTTTCATATTTTCATATTCTGTCTTTGTGCAGCAATATTAATGCGTATGCTATAAATTTTAAACATGGATCTTTGTTGACAAAACGAAACAGACTCATAGATTCAGACAAGAATATTTATGATTAAACATTCATTATCCAAAAATCAAGACATTAAATATATAAGATTTTTCATTTGTTTTTGTAACATGTAAATTTTTATTCAAGAATTCCTTGATGTTCTTTCTCTATGGATTTTTTTATCTTTAATTTTTTTAATTTCTCATTCATTTTACATTAGTAATTTTTTTTGGTTGTCTTTTTTTTACGAATATTTTATGCTGATGATGATGATGATGATAATAATAATAATGACTTTGCCATTAGGTTTAACAATGATGAAATAATATCAACAGAAAAAAAACATGTCCAAGGGATAGCGGTGAAATAAATAATTCATATGTTAAAAATATTTTCGTTGAAACTTTGGAGAAAAAAATAGGTGAAATTTCCAACTGTTTTTTTTTGTTGTTGTTTTTGTTTCATCATTTTATTTTCTGCAATCGAAAAGTAAAGAACCAGAAACATTAAAACAGCAATTTTTGTTCTGTGTTTTGTGACTTTTGTTTTTTTTGTCCAATTGTTTCAGATGAAAATTGATGATTTCATCTTGTTTATCTAGTGTATCACCACCTGTTTGTTTGTTTGAATAAACAGAATTAATCGAAAAATATACATGATGATTTTGAGCAAAAGAGCAATTGTAGAGAATATAATAGAAAAAAAAACAAGAGAAAACAATTCGAAATTTAACTTCATTAATATAAATTAATCTGATTTTGGAACATAAACATGTATTTTTTGTTTTTTTTGTGAATGTTATTTACATTGTTATAGCTCACATTGTACTACTATAAATTGGAATGAAAATTTTGATTTAGATATATTAAATTTTGTTTGCTTGTTTGTGAATTTTTATTTTTAGTTATTTTTAGAAAAGATTTATTTTTGATCAAATCAATTATTTTGAATTTTGAACCGTATTCTATTCATTGTGTTTTTTCTGTATATCTGAATACTATTCGTGCAAAAGTTAAGTAAAAGAAAGAAAACAAAAACAAGAAATGACATCAATGATTGGCGATATTTTACGTGGGGGAAATGATATTATTCGTATGTTTGTTCTTGATTTAATACCGGTGATTATCAGAAACAAATCAATAGCAAAAAAGATTCAAGATGTATTGCAAACAGAATGGAATGCATTTATAACATTTATATTCATGTTACCATTGCAGATTATCTATTTTCTTTGGTTTTTATCTGGTGGACCATTAATGACTTTTTCATTTTTAACAAGATATTTTACCTATATGCAAGTTGCTATAAATATTTTTGTTATGGCATTTTTACGTACATTACTTTCGATTACATTGTTGGATGATAGTAATCCGATTAGTAATATTAAAAAAATTATATCAAATACGGAAACTTCTTTGAGTAAATCGTTGAGTAAATCAAAGCAAATTTCCACTTCATTATCATCGGATACGGAAAATTCAACTACGCCGATCATTTTGAAAAAAGAAACTTCAAAAACGAAAAAAAATTAATTGATTTGAACATTTTGGAAACAAATTAATTTTTTCTGCAGTAAAAACAACAACACTAAGTCATAAATTAAATTAATTTTTGTTTCCCACGTAATTTGTTTATAATTGATTTTGTTTTACAAATTGAATTTTTTTTTCATATTCGAAATTTTAAAATAGTCATGCGCATTTTGAATGGACAATAAATCTATAGATAAAAGAAACACAACAATTTCACCCGAAGCTCAAAAAAATAAGGGAAACATTCTCGAAAAAAATGTATGCTAAACATTTTTAACCGAAAATCAATGCATCATCAATAATATGTCAAGGAATTTTGCTTCTCTCATGTTTGATGAAACTTTTCCCTTCAACTTACGATTCTAGAATTAAGAATGTAAAATGCGAACACACACACCCGCCCATACATTTTAAGAGAATTTATTTCAGTAACGAAAAAACCTGAAACTAAAATTCAATGCATGATGATTGTGATGATGTTATTGGTGACAACTTATACATTGTTCAATCATCAACAGTATCGATTAAATAATGTTAAGGATGTAAATGAAAAGTGATAAGTTTTTTTTTCACTGATTTGAAATTCGATTCACATTTGATGAATCTTTTGAATTTTTTTACATCTATTTTTCATTTCTCCGTACATTATTCAAGAGGAAAAATTCTTGCCATAGTCAAAAAAAAAAAGAATTTTCGATTCAAAATGCTAAAAAAATGACAAGGTAATCAAACGTAAAAAATTTATTATTTGATATTTTTTGAGAAATAAATTTCAAAAAACCATTTTTTTTAAAAAGCAGAAAAACATTCTGTCAACAACAACAGCAACAACAAAAACAAACGGAAAAAAACATGACAAATATCAAGATTGATACATTTATTTTCAATTCAATTGATAACCAACCAAAAAAAACGTTATCAAAAAAATATTAGTTGGTTTCAATGCTTTTTTTGTAATGAAAATCATTTCTATTTCCAAGAAGAAACTTCACTATATATTTTACCTGATGTTTATGTTTGATTTGTACTTATGTTTCAAAGAATTCTTATATGTTTTATTTTCACTTTGACAAAATAAGTATAGAATACTTTTTTTTATGAATACATCAATGTGATAGAATTATTATTTGATTCAGAAACTAAAAGTCAATGGCAATAATAAAAACAACAACAACAAAACATTACGGTTGACAGTAATAACAAAATACAGAAAGCTTTGAACACCCACACACACACACAAAAGTAGTTATTACGTAAGAAAAGAAAAGATCCATAAATTTTCATTTGACACAGCAAAAAAAAACAAAAAAACATTCTTTACGTATGTGTATCATGAACTAATTTGACTTGATCTTCTATTTGTTATTAATGTTGTTAAAGTTTACATTCATTTTTTTTCATGGTATCACAGTTACAGTTAGGATGTTTATTATTTTACACATAGACACACTTATGAGATTCTTATGACTAGAAAAACGACAAACAAAAAAATAATAAATAATATTGTCAACACAAAACAAAAAAATCTTTTTTTTCCATATCAAGGTGACAACTTTATTGAATGTCTTGATATTTAAACCGTATAAATTATTATTATTGTTATTATTAATTGAAGAATTCAAAGAAAGAAGAAATAATGACGAAATTCTTTTTGTTTTCTTAAATTTTAATAATTTCTAACCTAAAGGGATTGAAATCCTGGAATCGTTTTTGATGATTATTGTGAAATTTTTTTTTTTGAAATCAACAATAATAATGTGTTTGAGCAAATCATAATCAAATTGGTTACCAATGGATAATTTTTTTTGATGGTAACCAATGGTGAAACTAAATTTATCAATAAATTATATTGCTGATAATGGTAATAGATATTTTCATTTATGTACTTTCATACACATCTATATTTTAATTTGGCTTTACCAAAATTCTCTGATGTTGATGCTCAATAATAATTTTATTATTATTATTATTATCATTATTGATCAAAGTAATGTTGCCGTGTTGTTGATTATGGGAGTTTTTTTCCAAATATTTGATATTTATTTTCAAAATCTGATAGATTTCATCAACTAATTAACTTTTTCATTAATCTATTTTTGTTAATTGAAAAAAAATTAATTTTCGAAATTGAAATTTTTGTATTTACTCTTCATTATTATGAATCACTATCATCAACAAAAAAATCATTCAAATTTAGAATCTCATCAGCCACAATCATTGTCCGTTGATCATTTGATCAATAAGATTTGTTGTTCATTAATAAATCGTTTACAATCATCATTAAATTGTGTATCACCATCAATTAAGGAATTGCATCAATTATCTGATGGTATTGTATTGGCTGAATTAATTGAATTATTTGAAGATATTGTTATTGTTCGTGCATCGAATAATCGATTATATTTAAATGATAAATCACAACAACGATTACCATTACAAAAACAATATTATGATAATATTGATTATATTGAACAATGGCTAAAAATTGAAGGTATTCATATTGATACAAAACGTTCTATACGTGAATTATTTGCCGAAATGGAACGTGGTCAACGTGAATTGAATGGATTTTTTGAATATTATAATCAAATGATGGATTCAAAACGATCATCAATTGAATTTAAATTATTAATAAATAATCAACAAAAAGCTATTTATGATAGATCAATTGCTTATATTGCTGCATTATGTTATGCAATAATAACAATATTTATACGTTATGATCAAATATTTCGTCAATTTATAACAAATTATAATTTTAAAGTTCATGATGATGAACTTTTACATATTCTATTCTATACAAAATGGAAATTAACTGAAGAAGAATTATTGTTAAAAGATTTAGAATATATGCATCTTAAAGATCGTTGTGATTTATTAGAATTACAATTAAAACAACAACAATTACAACAGTCGAAATTATTAATACTCGAAAAATCAAAAACACTTGATGAAATTAATGAAACAAATAAAAATAATGATAACAATATGACAATGAAAACACAATTATTTTCACAACAAAATAATTCAAATCAAAGTTCAACAATGACAATATCATCATTGAATGAATTGGATCTTGTTGATTCATCAACAATAACAACAATTCATGGTCATATTGATCGGCCAATTAGAATCGAATTTGATTGTTATTCTACAAATCATGATAAGAATTTGTATGATTACCAAAATGTTGTCAAACAACAATCAGAAATTCCTGAGAATTTGAATAAACAAAAGATCAAATCAGATCAATATTTAATACAAATTCCATCTGGTTCATATTGGAATAATGTTGAGATTCATTCTGATTCATCTCGAAATCATCCTATGAAAACATTTCCATTGAATAATAATCATCAACAACAACAAAAACAACAAAATAGAAAATATAAACAAATTGAATTGTCAGATTATCCTGAACATCAATCATCAGCATGTATCATTGATAGAAATTCATTTGATTTTGATACAAGTAAAATCAATGTTGATAGAGCATTAAAATATGGTCAAAATAAATTGACAAAAAAATCCAATGATAATTGTTTGGCTAACAAAAATCCCGATAATCATGAAGATTTATCAATGCAAATATTTGATAACAATAAAATTCTTGACAAACAACAAAAATCAAATAAAAACGTTTTGGATCAAAATATGAATGAAACTGATTTGACTAAATATTTGGCCAAAATTCCAAGTGCCGATCCAAATAGACCATCAGCAGCTAAAACATTGAAATTTGATAAGGATTATGATCAACAATCATTCAACAACAGTAATGATTTAAACATCAAAATAAACAATCAAAATTCATCATTTAATACAAGATTTAAACATAATAATATTGATGATGGAGATGAACGTAATAGGATATTGATTTCTAGATTATTAGCCGAATTATCATATGAAAAACAAAAGAAAAAAATGGAATCAAAATCATTAATAGATAATGATCACGAACATTTGGCGTCGTCAGCAACATTCACCGATTCGCCTAATAAACAATTCACTGAAACAAATGTGGCATACATTTGAATTATTGAAAACTCATTATTAATAGATTGATGATTGAATTATTTATCTGTTAAAGATCAATAATATTTGAAATTATCTATGTTTTATTGCAAAATAAAAGAATTTTCATTTGGGGTAATATAAAATCAATAGCAAAAGTTTAGACAAAGACAAAAATTTAGTGTGAAAAAAAATAAATTGACCAAAATTTCCATGGAAATTCTTCATTCTTGTCGATCATCCATATTATTGTTTGGTTCAAATTTATTCTTTCATTCATTTTGATATATTCATTGTAATCAGACAGGAATTCAAAAAAAAAATGAAAAAAATGAAAAATCTAATAATTCGTTTTGATAAAAAAAATTTTATCAAAGAAATAATGCAGCAATGTTTTCTTTCAACAAATTTTTACATATTACGTATCGAATATTCGATGAATGAATATAAAAATCAACGAATTCCATGGAAAGATCGTATATTCAAACGTACCGTTTGGATAACAGCCATTTGTTGGGTAAATCTTTTATTCTGGATAGCGATAATAAAATGGCCAAACGATATATTTCCATTAACATTCAATGATATTGATCAAATGACAGCCATTCATGGTAGTAATCTATTTTCATTTGCATCAATATTTACATTTTCGACATTAGAATATGTTTGGTTTTCAACATTTTTTCCATTATTATTGAATTATGATTTACGTGCTAATGATTTGCTGATAAAATATGGTAAATTTAGTCATTATCATTTAAGTAAAAATGTTGGTCAAAAATTTTATAAATTAGTTACTATAAGTAATATAATTAACAGTTTATTTGGCTTATTTGTTATTTCATTTTTAACAATGTATTTTATTATATTAATTATAATATTGATCAAATTTTTTTTACATAAAAATATTTGTTTAATACGACTAATTATTTCATTACAATTATTATTCATTCTTTATTGTCGTATGCTGTATACGTTTGGTCAGGGACTTATTTCATTTAGATTTCTAATAATCATTATCGAATTATTTTTATTACAATTTAAAGAATTATCATCAAAATTTAAACATATATTTCGTCATCGTAATCAACGAAAATTATTTATTAATAATGGACGACTTTATTTTCGTTATTTTCAACGTAAATATATAGTTCTTTATAATGAAATATCAAAAACAAATCAAACTTTTAGAATATATCTATTTGCTATCGAAATTTTATCCAAATTATCGATTATTATCTGTATTTTATTCTATTATCAACAAACAGTTCTCAATATCTATAACATTTCATTCATAATATCACTTATTACAATGTTTTGTACAACAACAGCAATCTATTCACGTCTATCAAATCTACCATTATATAATCAACAATGTTGTAATTTTTTATTTGAATGGAATGCTCGTATCCAATCAATATGTTCAATTGCGATGATTAAACGTAAAGTAAAACGTTATTATCTTCTACACGAAAGACAAACAATTAAAATCAATTTGTTCATACAGACAATGACTGATAATCGTTTTGGTTTTACATGTGGTCAGATATTTTTCATTACAAAATATAAATATTCAGAATTAATTATGTTGAGTATCGTATTGATACTTTTATTCTATAAAAAGATTTTTCTTAATCTTGATCTTAAATCATAATATAATTGTAATTTATTTGATTTGTAAAAAAAAGATAAAATTTTTAATAATAAAAATAATGATAAAGAAAAAATGACAACAGTTAAAAAATCAACACCAGATAAGATTGTTATCATTACTAAATAAATCAAATGTTCGATCCTGTAAATTAGTTTTGTTATTATTATTATTATTACTGTTGCTGACATCACTAGTATTAATGATAGCTAGTTTTTTGCCCATACGTTCGGAATTTGATGATGGTGGACATTGGCCAGGACCACCATATACCTGATTGTTACCAATATTCATTGGAAATTCAGGTTGATCACCGTTGAGTTGATCTTCATTTAAATCATCCATCATTGGCTGTTGATCTTTCATTATACCAGATAACATTGGTATGCCAGAAATAGTTGGCACCTGTGGTATAGGCATTGATGGTAATCCATTTGGCATCCCAGACATTGGTGAAAAACCATTTGGCATTCCAGGCATTGATGGTAATCCATTTGGCATCCCGGTCATTGGTGGTAATCCATTTGGCATACCAGCCATTGATGGTAATCCATTTATCATCCCAGGCATTGATGGATTAAATGGTGGTCTTGGATATTGTGGAAATTGTGGCATTTGTGGCATATTTGGAAATTGTTGTTGTATTGGTGATATTGGTTTGAAAAATCCGTTTGTTGGTTGCCTTATTGGTGGTGGTCGAATTGGTTGCGATATTATCGATGGTAACATTGGTGGTTCACCTGGTGGTATTGGTGCTGGTGGTCCAATAGGTAATATTATATCCTGACAAAATGCCTGTTGCCATGGTACACAATATTTAACTCTGGTATCAAATTTTTTAACCGGATGACATTTGATTAAAAATGGATAGCCAAAAAAACATAAAAAATAATATTCACAAAGTTCATAACGAAATCGACCGAATGGAACTGGACAAACAAAATTAGTTGTGCCCGGAAATGAAAAAGGAACATTACGATCAGCATCAGTTTTAGTTGAATCATTTGAAAATGATTGTTTTTGATTAGATAACGGTGGTGATAATTGTTGATGATGTTGTAGTTGTTGATGATTCAATTGTGAAAACATTAATGATGGTGATAATGCTGGATTCATATCACTAGAACCGAGAAAAGTTTCATAATTTTCTTTCTCATCATTCTTATTCTCATTATTATCATCATCATCATCATCTGTAATGTTGTTATTGTTGTTAACAAATTTAAATGTTAAATTTTTTGCTATAATCGTTTCATTTGTTTGACCATCAACATTGCCAAGAATAATATGATTTCCCATCCATATTAGTGATGTAATTATGATGAGAATTGATTTCATTTTGTTTTTTTTTCAAATTTCAAAAAAAAAGTATTATCAGCAAATATTTGCTGATGATGATGATGATGAAACGGGTCTATAATCAAATGATCATTTTGTCCTAAATCGATTGAAGTATTTATATTTTTTTTTCTCCTGTATCATTATGATGTCAAATATAGCTATTGAATTTTTTTTTATTTTTTGAAAAAAATGTTTCATCCTGAAACACATTCAAACATTTTAAATGATGTTCAATGCCAATTCCAAGATGACAATATAATTTTTCAAGTGTCCAGTGTACTCAATTTTTTAGGCTGTTTTCAACTACATAGTATCAAAGCAAGGAAGCTATCACAAGATAAAACTTAATTTAGGTCGAGGTTAATCCGGCAAACCAAAAAAAAACAAAGTCTGGCTCCAACAACGTTTGAAATTATCATTGAAAATTGCACCCAAAAAAATATGATAATAATAACTAGGACCAATCGATCTATAGATAGACATATCAAAAAATGATCAACTATTTTGATCGAAACATGTCAAAATGATTTTAAAAAAATTTAGCTAAAATTTCGGCCATGTAGATAACTTATGTGTATGATATGTTGTTAATATAGAAACAATAGAATAGAGATAATTAAAATTTAAAATTTCAAAGTTTTATCATCAAAATTATCAACATGAAAAGAAAAAAATATATATTCACAGCTTCACATCTGGTGTTTGAAAATTTGCTGGTAAAAAAAATAGACACCTGTCATTTTGAATCAAGATCAAATCGAAACAACATGAACATCGTTTGATACAAACGAGAAAAAATTCATCTAGAAAAGAATAAAATATAAAATTCTTTACAACGAAAAAAAGTAAACGACAGGAAATGAAAAAAGATAATAAAAAATAAATGAAGAAAAACTTTGATGGCAAATCACACAGATTTTTTTTTCTATAGTGGAGAACAATGACATTTTGTTTATGGATGTTTATGAGAAAAAAAAAACTGAACTAAATGATTGTATACAGTGTTTGACTAGGATGACCAACAATACCAACATTCAAAAAAAACCCACAAAATGATTGAAAAAAATGGCAGCATAAACAAGTGAGAAACAAAAAATCCAAACTCCACATCCGGAATTGAATTTTGAATATTTTTTGTTTTGTTTTGACTTTTAAAAATATATTTGCCACATCCCAATCTTTTTCTCTTGATTATTGTGTCGTTGCATTTGTTTTTTACGAAACTAAATTTACAATGAAAATTATTCGGAAACTTTTCAATTATTGTTTGTTTTTGATTTTTAATTTTTATTCATAATAAACATTTATAAATTAGGCAAGACAAATTTTTTTATAAAATAACATAATCCATGGTAGATTAACAAGTAATAATTCAAAATTTTTAAATTTATCAATTATAAATAGATTACCACATGTAAAACCAAAATGATTTGTCATCATTGTTTGTAGAAAGAAATTTGTTTTCAACCAAAATCTTGATCGATGTTGACGATATAATCCTAAACGTTTTATTGATCTATCATCAAAAGTTTGTATTCGTACAAACCATGATAATATTAAACGATAACAATATCGATTATAGCTTGGTAATTTAGCTAAACGATAATAAACATAATTCATTAGTACAAATATAATGATCGCTACTAATACACAAGATGAACTGAATAAATTCATATCAATCTGTTTACTATAGAATAAACAAACAAATATTGTAGCTGTTTTATTGATTATTTCACCAAAAAAGAATAATGTTTTTGCTGTTTGATTAAATTTTGATAATTCATCAAAACAACGTACATAACCGATTTGAAAATGATGCCATTGTATAAACATTTTTAGACGTAATATTCTTTTTTGTCTTATAACAAATTCCATTAATCGTACTAATTGTAAAAATCTTAATTCCAAAAATTTGGTGAAAAATAGAAGAAAATTTCCAATTGTAAGCAATAGCTGTACCAAAAAATTTGTATGTGATGAACCAAGTAAATAGATTATAATAAATAGAATGAATTTTATCATATTAATTTGACCATTTTGATATAATTTAAATGATAAATATGTTGACATAGGTATTGTAATTATTATGATCAAGGTTAAAAAATCAATCAATGACATAAATATAGTATTCCAAATGGTAAAATAATGACATAATAATTTACTATATTTTTTTGATAATCGTCGTTCTGAATAAGTTGGCAAACCGGATAAAACATCATCAAATGATGAATGATAATTTAAAACACGTTTACAAAGACAAAACCATAAATTTTCATTTATAAGGCATAAAATTATTGATTCATATGCTAATAAATCGATTCTATTGATATTTGTTACTCTTTGCAAATCATTTAAATTGAAAAGAAAATCTTCATTAATCAATGAAAAAAGTGTAACAATCATTGCAACAATAACTGACCATGCATTTAATAATCGCCAAATTGTACGATAAAATGTTTGAAAATTCCAACTTATACAATGATTTCGATAATCTGATGGTGAATAATTCATTCGTATTAAGGTTAATCGCCAATATGAATAAGCAAGTTGTTTAATTTTATTAACATTTTCATATCGAACAAAAGCCATTTTTTTACAGCAACGTTATGATGATGATGATACCAATCATTCAAAAGTTCAAATGAAACTGAAAATTATTCAGTATTAATATTCAATGACTTTGAAGAAATCTTTAAGATAAATTAAATGTGTCATTGGGTACAAAATTCTTCAGCAATTGAAATTATTTCGAATGCACCTAATTACTTTCTTTTCCTTAATCATTTTGTTATTTACTGATCATCTGATTGCATGTTATTGAACAATAATAAATTACAATATTTAAATTGCTAAGCAATTTTTTTTAGGGGGTTCAATTCTTCATAATAATTTTCATTTTTCGTTTTCGGTCATAAATGAATCCATAGCAATTTTATTTTTTTTTCCTTCATAAAGTTTTTTTTTCGTTTCATTTGAAAACTTAAAATTTTTAGTTTTCATTTTTGGTATGAAAGCAACGACAAACAAACAAACAAACAAAAAACGCTTGAATTGTTTTTTTTTGGCTTGTTAGTTCCGTTTGTAATGAACAAACAGAAGAACGAACAAAATGGAATCTATTTATATATGTTACGTTCCGTTATCGATAATAATAATAATAATAATAATATTTATTACTGTGCGCTATCCGAAGATATTTGCACTATTTAAGTAAAATAAAATTCCGTTATCGATGGTGGTGGTTAAATTTTTTTTTTAATGAAAAAATAAAAATTAATCGTTTAGGTGAATCAATACTATTGNCTTCATTAATCAATGAAAAAAGTGTAACAATCATTGCAACAATAACTGACCATGCATTTAATAATCGCCAAATTGTACGATAAAATGTTTGAAAATTCCAACTTATACAATGATTTCGATAATCTGATGGTGAATAATTCATTCGTATAACGGTTGATCGCCAATATGAATAAGCAAGTTGTTTTATTTTATTAACATTTTCATATCGAACAAAAGCCATTTTTCTTACAGCAACGTTATGATGATGATACCAATCATTCAAAAATTCAAATGAAACTGAAAATTATTCCTTGACATTGAAGAAATCTTTAAGATAAATTAAAATTATACAATCAATTGTATCATTGGGTACAAAATTCTTAAGGAATTGAAATTATTTGTTATGGTATGCACTTAAATACTTTCTTTTCCTTAATCATTTTGTTATTTACTTATCATCTGATTGCATGTTATTGAACAATAATAAATTACAATATTTGAATTGCTTAGCAATTTTTTTCTTTTGGTTCAATTCTTCATAATAATTTTCATTTTTTGTTTTCGGTCATAAATGAATCCATAGCAATTTTATTTTTTTCTCCACAATGTAAACGTCAGAAAGTTTTTTTCTGTTTCATTTGAAAACCGGAAAATTTTTAGTTTTCATTTTTGGTATGAAAACAACGACAAACAAACAAAAAAAAAAAAACGCTCGAATTGTTTTTCTTTGGCTCGTTAGTTCCTTTTGTAATGAACAAACAAACGAACGAACAAAGAGGGATTCTATTTATATGTTACGTTCATCATCGATGGTGGTGGTTAAATTTTTTTAAATGAAAAAATTAAAATTAATCGTTTAGGTGAATCAATACTATTGATGGATCGATTGATCGATCGATCAATCAACGTTTTTCAAGTTTCAGGTTCAAACAAACCAAACAAAAGACCAATTTTTTCTTCAATCGCCAAAAGCATTGGAACCACATTAATTGACAAAAAAAAATTTTGTTTTTGTTTTTGATGGATTATTTGTTTGTCATCAAAGATTTTATTCTAAGAATCTAAAAAGGCAAATTTGAAAAAAATGCCCAATAACAATTCCCAAGAATTATTTCAAAAGTAAGAAAATGTAACAAGAATAAATCTTGTTTTTGACGAATTAAATTTTATTTTTCGAGAAATAAATCAAACTCATTCAGTCAACAAACTCAATGATGGATGATGGGAATAGGAATGTTTGTACATTCTCCTTTGTATATATCATTGTAAAATTTTGATGTTTGTTTTTTTCTATTTTATTTAACAACAACAATGATGATGATGGTGACTATGATCAGGAAGGAAACCTGATTTCCGGTTTTGATTTATTTTTCTTCACTTCTTTCTCTGGCTCTCTCACACTGTATCCCTATACACTGCAAAAGATAAATAAAGCTAGTTGAAATTGGAAAAAAATTACTGTATAGGTTTGGATTTGAAATGAAAAAAAAAAATTGAAAAAAATAAATAAACCGACAAAATTGTCCCATATATTTCGTTGGAAAAATAAATTTTGTTTTTTTTTCATCCATTTCTTTTCAATTTGTTCGTTTTGTTTGCTTGTTTTTCTTTGGTCATTCAACAACATGCATGTATCATCAAACAACAAAATGTTATTTCATTCTATAGATCAATTATTGATTGATTTGATTTGATTGAACAAGATTTTCATTGATTAAATAATGTTGATTTTAAAATGTTGATTTTTTTTTGGATATAGTGGTTGTTGTTTCTATTATCCACAATTTTGTTGTTTTTTAAATATATTCAAAACAATTTCATGTTAATCGTCAATTGTCAATGAATGATGATGATGATTCTTTTTTTCAATTATCAATCTTTTTTTTTCGTATGATGAATATCCTGTTTGTTTGTTTGTTTGTTTTTCTTCGCATTCATATTCAACATTGACATTTTTGTTTTTTTGCTCTGATAATAAATTTCTCTGACGTTGAACAAAAACTGTGATATGGAAAAAATCAACCAAATAGAAAAAAAATTATGCATTAACATTTATGATTGTTTCTAAATGTATTATTGAAAAAGATTATTCTTTGTTTTTGCTTACGTAAATGGATGCTTTTTGAATTCGGTCAATTGAATCATTTTTCTTAAAAATGTACATACAACAAAATCATTACAAATTAAAAAACTAGAACAAGAACAAAATAAAAATGTTTAAACTAATATCCAAAATGGGCTGTATATCAGCCAAACCAATAAAACATCCAAAAAAACCATTACCAACAATACCGAATAATAGTAATGCAAATAATGAACAACAACAAAATGGTGTGGATTTCAATCAACAACAACAAATTGATGATAAGCAACAACAACAACAGAATCCATATTTAAAAGCATCATCAAATCGTACAAATTCAATTTCAATGAAAATGAATAGTAATAATAATAATTCTATATGTGAATCTAATAATAATAATGATAATAATAATCGACCATTACCAATAACAATTATTGGTGGTTCGGGTAAATTATCCGGTAATAAAAAATCAATATTTTCAATTTCACCATCATCATCATTACCATCAACAACAGTAACAACAACAACTACGACGACGACAATATCAACGGCATCAAATTTACCATTATCATCATCATCATCCGTACAACCGAATAGTCGTAAAGAATCGTTAGCATTACAACCATTTAATCGAACATTACCGATTCCTATGAATAATATCAATGAAAATACATCAATATCATCATATAATAATAATAATAATAATAATTCTCATTTACTTCAACAACAACAACATCAACAACAGCAATCAAATTCAAATAATCCAAAAATTGTTATCGCTTTATATGCATATGAAAGTCGTGATGATGGTGAATTATCATTTGAAAAGAATGAAAAATTAGTCATACTGGATGATACTGAACCGGATTGGTGGCTGGCATATAAATTAACACAACCTGATCGTAAAGGTTATATACCGATGAATTTTGTTGTTTCCAATGTAATTGAAACGGAAGAATGGTTTTTTTCGAAAATATCACGACGTGAAGCTGAACGTTTATTATTATTTGGTGAATTTCCACGTGGTACATTTTTGATTCGTAATAGTGAACAAGATCCAGGTATTTTTTGAAATTTATTTATTTTTGGTTTCGTTTGTTTTGTTATCGATTTTGTTAATTTGTGATAGGATGTTTTTCACTTTCGGTTCGAGATTTTGATGCAATGAAATTAGATCACGTTAAACATTACAAAATTCAAACTAAACCAAATGGTGATTTTTTTATTACATCAAGACGTTCATTTGTAAAATTACAGGATCTTGTTGAACATTATTCAACCGCTAGTAATGGTTTATGTTATCGATTAACAAAACCATGTCCAAAATTAGCACGTGCTGTTGTTGGACCATCAGTACGTACCGATGAAATTGATCGTCGTGATTTACGTTTAATACGTGAACTTGGTTCGGGTAATTTTGGTAAAGTTTTTTATGGACTTTATCGTGGTCAAACACAAGTTGCAATTAAAACATTAAAACCTGGTTCAATGTCTGTGTCGGCTTTTCTACAGGAAGCAGCAATAATGCGTCGTTATCGTCATGAAAAATTAGTACCATTATATGGTGTATGTTCAACTGGTAGGTGTAAGAAATCATTTATTGTTAATTTGTTTGATTTATCAAAATTAATATTGATCATTATTTTAACCAACAACAAATCATTATAGCTCAACCATTATTAATTGTAACAGAATTTATGTCAAAAGGATCATTGTTAAATTATTTACGTGATCATCCAGAATCATCAACATTAACAATAATCGATTTGATTGATATGTCATCACAGATTGCATCCGGTATGGCATATTTAGAAAAAGTAAAATTAGTACATCGTGATTTAGCTGCACGTAATTGTTTGGTTGGTGAAAATCGTGTTGTAAAAGTTGCCGATTTTGGTCTAGCTAGAATTATTGAAGAAGATTATTATATTGCACAAGTTGGTGCAAAATTTCCAATAAAATGGACAGCACCAGAAGCTGCAAGTAAAGGAAAATTTACAAGTAAATCGGATGTATGGTCATTCGGTATATTATTATATGAATTAGTAACAAAAGGACAGGTACCATATCCAGGTATGAGTAATCGTGATGTATTGGAACAAGTTGATCGTGGTTATCGTATGCCAAAACCAAAAAATGCTGATTGTCCAAATTCATTATATCAAATTATGTTACAATGTTGGGAAAAAGATCCAGAAAAACGTCCAACATTTGAATATCTTTATAGTTATTTTGATGATTTTTTTGTCGCTACTGAACCACGTTATCGTGATGCTGATGATTTTTCACAACAACAATATGAAACACATAAAATATTATCATCAACACAACAACAACAACAACAACAACCACCACTATCACCTAAACAAACAACAAATCCAATACTTAATAACAGAACAGTTATTGATTGTTCCAAAAATGAATGAATAAATGAAACAAAAACAAAACAATTTTCTTCAAAATGAAATAAAAATTGATTTTTATTATAATTATAATTATTATTCGTTACATACAGACGATATACTGATGAAGAATTTTTTCAATATGATGAAAAAGTTATTGTCATCATGTTTTGGATCAAAATAAAATGAAATTTTCATTGCTGAATAAATCAAAAGGAATTTTATCATTAAGTTTGTGTGTGTGTTTGTGTGTCTGTGAGTTTATTTTTTGGAATAATGTTAGAATTTACTAAGGTAATTTTGTTGTGGTGTGGTGTGATTGATAATGTAATATTTGTGTTTAAGGTTTTGAATTTTGTTGATTGAAAAAAAAAGTTTGACATTTTCAAATAAATTACAAATTTAGAGAAAAAAAAGTTTAAATTTTGAAAATTATTTTGCCAGGAATGCAAGCTGTGAGTGATAAAAACAAATTGAACAGTTTTTTGTTTGAATTTTTGAATCATATGGAAAAAAGAGAATTTGGAATTTTAAATTTTGATAAAGAAATGAAAATTGTAAATTTGACAGAAAATAAATAAAACCTTAAAGGAAAAAGACCTTAAAACAGAATATACAAAATCACCACTTTGGTATGGAAATAAAAACAAAGAAATTTTAGGAAGAAAAAATGAGAGATCATCCAAACTGGGTTAGTTGTTTTTTTTTGTTTTCTGGTTTTCTGAAAGTAAAATTAATTTTTAGTGGACTTTTAAGTAGCAAGGTAAAAACAAAAAACATTGAAAAGTTTGTGTGGTCTGTGTGTGTCAGGAAAATAAAATTCAATGAATTTTCGTAGATTCATACAGAATGAGAAAAACAAATTAAATGGGAAATGAAGAATTAAAGAAATGAATAAAATTAGAATTTGATGTGAACATTGTGAATGAATTAAAGTTAATGAATGAATGAATGAATGAATGAATGAATGAAAGAAAATTATTTTGACTATCAAAATGAAATGATGTATGTGTATTAGTTAGGTTAGGTAATTTTAGTAAATTGAAAATTTAAATCAGGAAAAAAAAGTAGAAGAATAACATCATCAACATCAACAACAACAAATACTTGGAATAGAAACAAAAAAAAAATTTGAAATTCATTTGAATAATAATTATAAATGCTGATGATATATGATGAAAACAAAATATATTCTCTATATGGCAATTGGTTGTTGGATTTTTTCTGTAATAAAATTGTGTAGGTGTTTGGTGTGTTAAAAAAAGAAGAAGCCAAAAACACATTTTTTGGAAAATGAGGCAAGATTTTGAAAGTTTTAGTGGAAAAAAATTTTTCGGTGAATTTTGTTGATGTTGTTGTTGTTGCTGTTGTCTTGAAGAAAATGAAGATTATTTATTATTCTTATCGATTAAACAAATAATGATGAAATATGATGATGATGATGATGAATGTTGTAAATAACACAATATAATGATGATAATGATAAAATTGAATAAATTTGAAAAAAAAAATTTTCAATGAATCCATCTGGTTGGGTTGAATTTATAATTTGAACATTGAAAAAAAATAGAGAGGTGATTGAACAAAGATATGTATTTGTGTTTGTGGATTTGAATGTGTATTTTATCTTGATTACATTTTGTTTTTTTTATTTGTTTGTTTGTTTGTATCTGAAATTTCAATTATTTATGTTGGATTTTTTTGTTGTTGATGTTGTTGTTGTTGTTGTTGTTGTCATTATTTATTATATTGATCATCATAATTTGATGAACCAGGAGCCGAATCACTCATTGAATCTGCATTCGAACCAGGATGATGATGATGATGATGATGGTGATGATGTGGTCCAAGTGGACCACCACCACCACCACCACCGCCTAACATTGGACCAGCACCTGGTGGTCCGGCAAATGTTTCTGTTGGATCATTTGGTTCATTTGAATATGGACTACCAAATGAACCATATGTATCAGCAAAATCATTATGAATACTGCTGTTGGATAAGAAATTTTTGGAATAAATGAGAATAGAAAAAAATGGAAAGAAATTAGTTTCAAGAAAAACAAAATAAAATAAAATAAATATCAGGAAATGGGATTTATTTTTTCATTGGAATAAAGTTAAAATTGCTAAGTATATCGCCATCTATCGAGATCAGGAAAAAACTATTTGTTCAAATTTTATAAACATATTTTCGGGAATCGAAATGGGAAAAGATAATTTACCAATGTTTTTGAGGAACTAATTTTTCGCCCTCATATTTCGCCAAAAAAAAAAATCAATCAATTTCCTGAATTTTTAGCAACAACATCAATCCATCTTTCTGAATTATTTTTATCTCTCACACTTTCTTTCTTTATCTTCAAGTAAAGTGAATGGAAAAAAAAATTGATTTATAACTTGATTGAAGATAATGATCGAATATCAGACAACTTTTGCTTCAGGTCTATATTATATAATTACATACACGCACACACAATCAACCAATAGTTTATTTCAATGAATTTTTTTTTATCATTTTCGTATTACGACTGTATACGATGATTGTATAAATGAATGAATGAATAAAAAATCTCTACTATCGAAATTGTCTTGCTCTGATTATTACCAACTTGTTGTTGTATGACAACGTATATTCGAGTATTGTACGCGTAGTAGTTTATATTTGTCATCATCATCATCTTGAATGAAATGAAAATTTATTTTTTTTCTTTCTTCAAACTACGAAACCCGATTGTGAACAACACTACGAAATTGAATGGCAATTGTTCATTTAAATTTTTGTATTTTTTCATGAATGAATCCGAATGGATTCGAATAAGAAAAGAAAAAAATAGAGGAATAAGAAAAAATAATCTTATTGAATGAAAAAAAAACCCAAAAATAGATAAGAAATTGTGTTCATGTTCGTGCTTGTGATTGTCAACTTTGAATTTCATGATTTTTTTGTTGTTGTTGTTGTTGTTTGTTTGTTTATTTGATAGAAATTGAGATTGATTATGTTTTTTTACTATTATTTTGGATTGTGTGTGTGAAACCGGTGCCATAAGAAAATTAAAGAAAAAGAAATTTTGTTTCGAGTATTTCGCGCATAGAATTCATTAAATATTTTTGAAATGAAAAAACACTTACGGCATAAGATGTGATGGTTGTGAATATGGTGAATATATTGGTCCACCCGAACCATGATGACCAATAAATGGACCAAAACCATGTGATGGACCAACATGCATCAAATGTCTTGGTGGTGGTGGTGGATGATGATGTGCTGCAAATTGATGTGTTGACATTGCTGTCATTGGTCCATGAAACATTGGTGGTGGTGCACCGGCAACCATACCGGCAAATGGTGATCCTGGACCACCAATTGGTGGTCCAAAACCAGGTCCAGCTGCCATACCAAACATTGGTGGATAAATTGCAGCTGGTCCCATTGGTATTTGTGGCCGCATTGTTGTTGGTTCTTCTTTTTTATCATCTTTTTTCTGATCATCTTGATTTTGTTGATTATTTTGATCTTTATTACCACGTAATTTTGCAAACCAATTATTCATCTGTGAAAAAAGACCTTTTTTCTCTTGTGGTTCTGCCGATACAATAATAATCATCGATATGATTACAATCATAATATAAATAAATAAATCATTACGACGATGATAATATGGATGAAAACGGCAATTTTGTATTTTATTCATTTTTTTCGGAAAATTTTATTTTAGATAAAATTTTTCAAGAATTTTTCTTTCTCAAACAAACATTCATTCACATAGACACTTTTGCACACCAACACCGGCACTTTAACGTTCCTTTATTTTAAAATAACCGGAAAAAATTTTCACAAAAAAATAAAAACACTTGTTAAGAATTTCAAAAACAAATCATTGAAATTGTTAAATTTGTTTGTTTGTTCGATCCAAAAAAAAATCTTAATCTTACATAACTAAAAAAATTTTATAACTGAACAAAATTCAAATAAAATAATTTGTTATTCAATTCATCATTTATATACACACCTTGTTCACCCAATATTATTATAACAAACTTTTCTCTTTTCCTATTCTCTTTTCATTCCCGTTTTTTTTCACCACCACCACCATCATCAACACCAAACAACAACAGGTAGAAAATTCAATTGATTTCTGAAATTCTCGATATAAAAAAAAGTACGAAAAAAGAAAATCTATTTCAATCTTTCATGAGGAAAAATAGACCTTTTTTCTTTCTTTCTCTCACACACACACTTATTCACTTTCTTTTGCTCTATATCTGTATCTTTATTATTTCATTTCTTAAAAAATTATTTCCATTCATTCATTCATACAATGCACATTAATAATTATGTATCCATTGAATATCGGTAGCCAGGATTCATCATCATCATCATCGAAAGTCGTTCATCATCATCATCATCGAAAGCATTCATCATCTATTTTATAAGAATCATTGAAATATATGTGTTATTGCCCCCTTTTTTGGTTCCTTTAATCAGACAAATATATTGTGTATATTTGATCAGAATGAAGTTGCACTTAGATTTTGTTTTAAAAAAAAGAGTAACTAAATGAAGAAGAGATTTCGATGATGATGATGATGATGATGTTGATGAAGAAATTGTCTTTGTCGAATATAATCTATTGAACTGATATCCTTCTTCTTTTTTTTTGGATCAATTTTAGTTAGTTATCATCATCATCATCATTACAATCATTTTCCAATCGATTGATTTTTGTTAATTTATTTTTCGTTTAGCCATTATTATTTAGTAGAAAATGTAGTTTTTTTTCACGCGCTTTACAAATGAATCATGATGATAAAGATGATGATATGAATGGAAATGGAAATAATTTCTTTTCTTTTTTTGTCATCATCATCAAATAATTTTTTCTTTTTTCGTATTTCGCAATGATGTTTATTTCTTTTTTGTGAAAAGAAAATTGAACTTTTTGTTACAAGTTATTTAAAGTATATCTCTAATTATTATTAGTGAAAAAATTAAAAAAGGAAATTTCAATATGAATGATCCATTATTCTTTGAAAGAAAAAAACGTTTGCTGGAAACGGATGAAAAAAGAATACAAATCAATCGATCAATAATTTTTTTGTGATCAATTTTTTTTTGTTGTCGTTGTTGGTATGAATGATCAATTCATCATTTGATGATAATTTCGACCTGTTAATACCCATTGTTAATGTAAAAAAATGTATTTGATGATTGAAAGTGTTGAATTGAAAGGAAAAAAATTGAAAAAAATAAAAGAATATATCGATGTATAAAATTGAAAATTTGGGAAATTGAAATTTTTATGTCGATCGATCAATATATTTTTTTTTTGTTGAAAATATTGGTTACATAATGATTGATATTAATCTAGGGCAATGATGATGCTCATCATCATCATTCTTCAAATTGGTTCAATAATAGAAACTGGTAAAAAAGATATACAATGATTCTTTTCGACAATAACAACAACAACAATAAAAACATCGGAAAAAAATTGATTTTAAATTTATCTTTATTTAGATGTTTTCATTGTTCCAGAATGTGAATGAAACATTCCATTATTTTTTTTCGTTTGTATTTGGTGTGATGGATCGATTTTTATTCGATTTTAAATCCTAGAAAGTTTCTCATTTTTTTCAACAGACAATCAAAAGGATTTGAATTTTCAAAAAAAAGGAAATCCATTTTTTCTGGCTTGGAAAAAAATCAATTTTTCTTGGTTGTTCAACAAAATTTATGAAATTTCTTTTTCTTGTTGACCTCGAATACACATTTGCCAAAAATCCATTGGTCCGGATCATTTTCGCACACAAAAGTTGACCATTGAAAATGACGATGGAAAAAAACTGCGACAAACTGAAAAAACCATGGTCACCAATTGGTCAGATTTGTATCCTTCACACACACACAGACAGAAATCCTTTTTCAAATTCATCAAAAGATCTATTACGTTTAGCTGTTGTTTATGTATAAAACAACAATTTCGATATGCATTGTTAATTTTATATTTTGTTGCTGGTGTTTCAACTGAAAAAAAAACAGTTAACATAATTTCCCCCCATTTTCTATCTAGCTCATATAGCTGAAACAAACAAACAAACAAACTAACTAATATCATTTCGTTTCGCTAGACCTATATTATTATCATCAGGTAATTTTCACCATAATATTAATTATTATTCTGATTTTGTTTTTCCAGAAAAAAAAATATTATTGAATATTATAAGTGATTAAAAGTACAAGAAAGAAAGAAAGTCAGGGGAAAAAAATACCTTAAATAAAATATATTTAATGATTTGCCACTTGAATTTTTTTTTATTTTCGCCAAACACCAGGTATAATCTCCATATAATGATGATGATGATCTAATTCTTATTTGAAATATTTTGTTTGTTGAAAATGATAATTTTGTCAACAAAAGAAAAAAATAAAAACTGTTTTTTTTTCTTACAAAATTCGGTTATTTTTAACCCGAAAATATTTTCTCTCAACAAAATGATAGATAAAATTCATTATTGAAAAAAATGTAGCCAGAATAATCAAGTAAATCTGTGTTTGGATATCTGTTTTGACAAAATGAAAAATAAATCGCCAAAATAATTGTTGCGCCAAATAATAATTATCCGTTTATTTTTTTTTTGGTAGCTTCTTTTGCGAAAAATATTTGTTAATTTTTCTTCTGCATTATGCATAATTGTTTATTTTAAATATAGAATGATAAACAAACGGAGCGCAAAAAAAACTTTCAAGCCGCTCGACAAACAAAAATAATGCTTCAACAAAAAACAAATTATTCCATCGGCAATGATGATGATGATCTCATAATCAAAAATGATCAATACTTGATATATGATAAGATCCGGTAATTAAATATTTTTTTTTTGATTATAACGATGAGATTTTTCAAAACTATTCGACCAAATCGCGATACACATTATTATCATTGCTGTTGTTATTTTAATTATTGAATGATAATTATCACTATAGAACAGAAAAAAATTGTTATCATCATTATAATAGTAAATATCTTTTGCTTCCAAAATACCTTAAATGATAATTATCTAATTATTATTATTATTTTTTTCTGTATTGTTTTTTATTTGTCTAAAAATATTTTTCCAATCCAAAAATACCTAATATTAGATACAATTTGGTTGTTGTGATAGATATTTTACGTTGATAGTTTTACAGTGTTTCGTTTTATCCTCCGAATCAAAACAAAAAAAAAATGTTTAATTTTAGTTTCAATAATGATCAATTATTGATCTATAGATGAAGAGAGATTTGAATAAATCTTAATCCATATAATACAATTGTTGAAAAAAAGTAAAAATCCTGATGATGACTTTCATTTTCATTTTAATGATTTTATTTTAAAGAAAAAACTAATTATCATAATTAAAATTTTCATTTCATCGATTGTCATTAATAAGTTTTTTTGTTTTGTTTTGTTTTGTCAAAAATGATTTTAAAATTATTTATCATTGTTATTTTTCTTCTTTTTGGTCGGAAAAGTTTTCATTCATTTAAATTTTATTATTTTCAAAATGGTTTACAATTGAAATGTGCCGTAGCAAGTCGAAGAGAAAACAGAAAAAAAATGCAAAGCTTTAACTTGATTGATTAGGTTGAGATTATTATATAATGAAATATCATTACTGTTGTTTTTTTCTTGATTCGTTTCCGTTTTTTCCGTTACTTTCTTTTCTTTTCTGGAAAATTCTTTTCTTTTTTCAACCATTATTTACCACTGTATTCTATACCCAGAAAGAAATTATGATAAATTCAAGTTGGAAAAAATGTTTCCCTTTCTTGTGTAATTTGTAATTTAGATTTATTTGTAACTAAATTGCCTTCAAATTATGAAAATATATGATTTTTTGGGGGATTTTTTTGTGTTTTTCTACTTTACTCTCAAATACACAGGAAAAATACCGAAAAAAATTGAATTTTATTAAAATTCAATCAACAATAGGTCAAAAGTTCAATTATTGTCAAATGATAATAACGTTAAGTAACAAAAAGGTGACAAATGAAATGTTGTCTAAAAAGAAAATATAATTAATTAACACCCCTTTTGTTTTAATTACAATAACAATTTGTTTCCTGGTGAAAAAAAATTATCATTATCGATTGGTGCGATTGTTAAAATTGATTAAAACAAAATAATAATAATGATTATTAATGGTTCAGATTAAAACATGAAAAAACAATCATTGCATAAAAAGAATTCAAAAATTGTTTGTAAAAAAAACAAAAAGGAAGTCTATCTATGATGAGCTTCATCATTTTTATGACAAACTTTTGTTTTCCTAATTTGATGTTCAGCCATTCATCATAATCGAATGACCATCATCATCATTCATTAAACATGAAAATGTTAATTAACATTGTAATTTGAACGTCGTTATTCAATTCCTGTTCAGATGTATGGCCACAATTTTTTTCTAATGATGGATGGTTAATGGAAAAAAATGACAAACAAAAAAATTCAAATAAAAAAAACTTTGATCCATCAGCAACAGATGTCGCCCAATATTCCATTTTGTTCAATATTTTCGTTTTTTTATTTTTGGATTTACTGAAAACAAAAATGTTTTTTTCAATTGTCAAATTGTCATCAATTTATTTGGCTATTGTTGTTGTTGTTATTGTTGTCAAAATGACAATTTTGATGCCATAATTGAGACCGATTTCATTCGCAACAACACAATCAACATTATCATCATCATTAGATCATCGACAAATCAGCCATTAATATCCAATTTTCCAAATCGATAAATGTAATGGGCGAAATAAAAAAAAAACATAATTTTCGTCAAACTAAACTGAAACATTTCATCAATTTATTTCTAATTTTGGATACCATATTTATTTT